AGTATGTGATGGGTTTGACAGGTTGGTTGGCCTCGAAGACCACTGTCTAAGCTAGCTGCAGCTCTGAAAAATAGCTATATAGTTGCAACTTTGCATTCTAGGAAATTCTCATCAGGAGAAGGTATGTAGATCGAACAACTTTATAGTGGTAATTCATATGTTTGTGTCTTTTTTTTTTTTCTTCTGTTATGCTCAATTATCTGAATTTTCTTGCAAATGAGTTTTAAAAGTAAGTGATAAAAACCTTAGTCTACTTGGACAAGTTACTTGGCAGAGGGGAGTGGAGAAAAGAAGCTGATAGGCATGGCCCGTGCAACATCAGATCATGCATTCAATGCAACAATTTGGGATGTTCTTGTTGATCCTTCCTATCAGGTATTTTCTCTGTGCACCTTAAATAAGTTTATTCATGCTGTAGATATGTTTATATAGAGGCTCCTGGTCATTAACTTGGACTAGTCAGGGGAGTTACTTTTGAAACTTCATAGTAGTAACACAATTTTTTTAATATGATGTGAGTGATTAGGAGGAACAACAATTAATCTATATATTTTCTTCCGCATATAGTTATTTTTTATTTTATTTGGATTAGAGTAAAGTGTCAACCTTAATTCTTCGTATCCTACTACTGCAGTTCATCAACTGCCCTCAATCCCAAGCTTGTCTTTTAGTCTTGTTAGAGATTTGTATGCCTGTAGAAATTAAAGAGAACCTATATCGCTAGACAACTTAAATCTTCAAATATTGGACTGACGCGAGTTTAAAAGGAGTAACATGATCAGTGAAGAAGTCATCCTTTAGAAAGGAAGTTTCAAGTATCTTGAGTCAAAAATCCAAGAATTAGGGAGATCGACTGTTGACAATGATGTCACACATCATATTGGAGTAGGGGATAAAATGGAGACTTTTATCCAGTGTCCCATGTTATAAGAATGTGTCACCAAGACTTAAAGGTAAGTTCTACAATAGTTGTTAGACCAACTGTGTTGTATGGGGCCAATCAAGAATTAACACGCTCAAAAGATGAAAGTAGCATAAATGTGGATGTTAAGATGGAGGTATGAGCATACTAGTGGAGATAAAATTAGGAATGAAGATATAAGGGGCAAGGTGAGAGTGACCTCCGCGATGGACAAGATGAGGGAAACGAGAGTGAGATGGTTCGGGCATGTGAAGAGGAGAATAGATTCCAAGTTAGGAGGTGCAAGAGGTTGATAGTGACAGATCTAAGGAGTGGTAGATCATGTTTAACTCCAGAAAAATTAAACTACAAAGAAGAGGTCTTCAGATTTGTTCAAGATGACTACTATGTGTTATGGAGGATGAAAGCAATGAACATCTTTTCTTATAGTGCAAGACAACAATAAAACGGTGGCACATGTTCTTTTGTATTTTGAGCATAAATTGGCCTATGCCTAGCTCTGCTCTACTATGAATCTTTTGAATCGCTGGATGAATGTGGAAAAGAAAAATGGAGAGGAAGATTATTGGAAGATCATCCAACATGTATTTGGTAGACAATATCGAAAGAGAGGCTCAAGACATTTGAAAATCCTAGCAATTCCATTCAAAATATTAGGATGAATTGTCTTAGTTTGTTCTTTTTTTGGTGTAAACAAAATTTATGGGGGGCGGGAGGAATAGGAGATTTAGTAGATTTAATTGGTAAAGTGTAAATATTATAAATCTGGTAGGAGTCTTTCCCCTTCGGTTTGCTCTTTTGATGATGTGAAGTTCTAAATTCAGCACCAGTTATGGTGTTGAGTTTATGTAGATTATACAAATGGTTTCCTTTCTCAAAATAAAAGGTAGAGGTAGAGGTAGACCGAAGAACAAATGGGGAGAAGTGATTAGACAGGACATTACACATCTTCAGCTCACTGAGGACATGACCCTACCCTAGATAGGAGATCATGTAGGTTCAGGATTAGGATAGCATGTTAGTTGGTAGCCGTGCGATTTCTCTTTTTCTTTGTGTGTGGGAGGGCATGGTTCTGGTTTGACTTGGAGCACCTTTTCTGCTTCCTCTTCTCCTTATCAGTACTATTAATATTATTCTAGTATTATCTTTGGTTATCCTACTATTTTTTCTTTAGATTCTTTCCTTTTCCTCAGTAATTTCATCATTGCTTCTTTGCTCTTTTATTTTTCAAAACACTTCTCTTTAAGTTGAGAGTATATCAGATATCCAAAACGAAGAAAATAGTGGGGTTTTGATGTTTCTTGAGGGGGTGATTATGGCTGGTGTCTGGCACAGGAAGACAAGAGTGGCATTTGTTTGCAGGTGGTGGCGCCGGGGTATTTTGAGAAGAAAGGCTGTGTATTTGTTGGTGGCTGATTCCTGATGAGTCTCCCCCAGGTGATGGGGTGGCCATCTGTGGAAAATGAAGTTATTCTCTCACTGTGTGCGAGTTCTTTCCCTAGTTACCTCAGTCCTCTCCATCTTTATGCAGGCGTGTTAATGTAAAATGGTGTTTCCAAGTTGGTGGGAGGTGGTACATTTGAGCCTGAATCTTTGGCAGTATGCATGTATCCCTGTGGGAAGAAGACTGTGTGCAAATATGTGCATGAGGTGAGCGGTGGCTGATCATATTGGGGTGATGGTGTAAATCAGAGAGGAACCATGCTTGTTCTGGTGTAATGTTTTTGAGCTTTCGCTGGGCTACAGGAAAGGGATGGTGGGAGGGGAAGGGAACATCAGCCAGTCAAAAAAAATTGGGTTATAAGATAATGAAGATAAAAAATTGTGTCGCATGGATATCGACATGTTATCTGACTCAGCACAATTGATTTACATGCAGGGTGAGGATTGTATTAAACATGTGTGATCGACTTGAGGTGTTTAAATTGGGAAACTGAGAGATTGGACAGGGGTGTGGCGGGGGTGGGGGGCTTTCATAATCGGGACAAGTGTAAGTGTCTAGGTATCAAACCTATATTTAATATGAATTTTAGTTAATACTATGAAATAATCAAAGAAATTTCCCATAAATGCAATATTGAACTAAAAATGACTTCTCTGGGAAATGCTTATATATGTTGAAGAGGAAATGACTACTATGATAACCATTACCCTCTCGTGTCTGTATATTAGATGCATTTTATTTCAAATATCAGTGGGACTGTTGGTAATGATTTTCTTGATATTCATCTTATTATTTGATGATATTATGAGCTAACGTAATTCCTATGATGGTTTTGTTGACATTCAAAGGGACAAGGACTTGGAAAAGTTCTTATCGAGAAACTGATACGAACCCTTCTCCAAAGGGACATCGGAAATATTTCACTGTTTGCAGATAGTAAAGGTACCAAGATGAGACCAGGGTCTCAGACCTGTAAAAAATTTCTTCGGTGTTAGTTTTGAAAAACTTTTTACTTAAATAGGCTTCTGAAGTTTCACTTTTTTTTCTCTTGCAGTTGTGGAATTTTACAGGAATCTTGGTTTTGAACCTGATCCAGAGGGAATTAAGGGAATGTTCTGGTACCCCATGTATTAGGCATGTATTGTTGGACCAACAATTATGGCCTCTAGCTCTGTACAGATTCCAAAGATTGCTGCAAGAATGTGGCTGTTGGATTCTGAGATTAACATGCAGCATTCTTTTTGGAAGTTTGTGAGCTTTTTGGCCATCTTGTAATGTACATTACAATGACCATGGAACCTCTGCTGTTGTAGCTTGATAGTTTTGTTGTGTTCTTGTTGTAGGATTTCTGGTTGTTTAATAGATCTTATTGTCCTTGTCTAAAATAGCATTTCTTGTTGCTTTCATCTTCAAACCCATTGTTTATCCATACTTTATAATGACCTTGCAATTTTGGTTTTTCTATTTTTCTTTCGTTATAGCTGTGACTTGTACATTCATTATTGTTGATCAATGATATTTTATCCGTTTTCACATGACTCATTTTGATCCATCCATACAACTCGATTCACCCATTTGCCACTCCAGTCCGTTTTCACATGACACTTGATCCATCCATACAACTCGATTCATCCATTTGCCACTCCAGTTGTGCATGTTGAACTCTGTTGAGATTTGTCCAACTTAACAGCATTATCTTGGTTTAAGATTGAAAAGTTGTTAACTAGTTCCATGTGACAACTGAAAAGTGTCCAATCAACAACCAATGAGCTGCTGAGACTCTTCATTTCATATAACTTGAATAGATAGAAGTTGGAATCTTAATCCAATTCATATATAATACTACTAGTTGTGTTTGAATATATTACTGTGATACAAAAAATCGTGTCATGATGTATGTTATTTGCTGATGATAATAATGGAGAAGCACTCTAGAGAGAGTAATATTTAAGAAAATGTACAAGTAGTAATATTGATTATATATGAATTGCAAATTTAGTCAGCACACGAACAGTGAATCACGTATGATACATACAGATAATTCTAATATTTAATAGCATGGTTGAAATAAATAAAACATTCTATCTAGGTAGTTAGGTTTTATTTGAATAAAAGAATGTATACCAATTCATAGTAATGCTACCTAAATTGTTGTCCAATGTTGTAGTCCATACTTAGCCAGGTGAAAATTAAAGACCAAGTCCACTTGCCTAGTCATATAGAGTCATTGTTTTAAAATTCATTTCGTGTTCGGCACTCATATTAGAGCTCCTATTAAATTTGGCACTCATATTAGAGCCCCTATTAAATTTGAAGTGTGCAATATAGAATTTATTTAGGGTGACACTCCCAACATGATTTTCTCCATATCTACAGCTCGAACTCAAGAAATCTAATTAAGGGTGGAATAATCTAACCACTACCGTCTGCAAGTCATTGTTTATTCACAACAAAACTGGGAAGTGAATATTTTGTGTAACAATTTGCCATATTATATAAATCCCTATTGGCCAATTGCCTTTTTGTCAACTTATACTGAAAATGTTGCATTAACAACTGTGTTAGTTAATTTTCATTTTCTGATACATATAAAAAGAGCAAAACTTGACAATGTCAAGTTTGGCATTGTCAACTCTCCAATTTATTCCAATATCTAGTACAAGTTTATTAAAATGGTACTACTATGCAGACATTATATTCTCTATACATTGTTTGAGTACTCTTGTCAATCTCTTTAAGGTTTTCTGGTAGGTGATTTAATATTCTATTTCTGGGCTACGGATTTAATGATGTATTTTAAACGTTTTTTCTACCTCTGATGACGTGTTTTTTTGATTTAAAGATATTTGGATATGGGAAGGGAGAAGGAAGTAATATTACTGATTGTGGTTCTTTCAACATGTTTTTCTGTTTATGGACAAGATATGCTCACTGATCCAGATGAAGGTAATTTGTCTCCTCTGTTCGTTATTAGTTTTTTTTTTTTCATCCGGTGTCCCATATCTATATTGAGTTCGACTAGTTTGGATTATCGTTGGATAGAACCCCGTTTAGTAACACTCCCTACAACCGAATTTTTTCGTACCCAAAATTTGAATCCCAAACAAGTGATTTAATGAGGAGCAACCCCATCAACTGAATTACATTCTTCCTCTCTTGTAATTGTCCAAACTAGTTAATAACCTTTGTAAAACATTTCATTTTGTACAAATAACTCTTCGTTTTGGGTGTCATTAACCATGAAAATTGTGGAATTTGAAAGAAAAAAATCGAAGTTTGTTTTCAAAGTAAAAAATGATATTTGAAAATTTGAGTTAGTTTGACGACAAATGCAAATTGGAGTTGTTTTTTAATTTTATTAGTGATTTCTAGTGGAAAAAAAGTATCTTTTTGATATTTTTCACCCAAAATTCAACTTCAAGTTGGATTATGATTTTCTTGAAATTTTATTGCCAGACATAATTTCTGAAATTCAACTTCGGAAAAAGTAAAATATATTCTTGGCCAAATGGCCACTAAATAAATTTTAAGTTAGTATTTGAATTTTTATGGTTAAACGCTGATTTTCAAACGTAATAAAAGAAAAATTATAGACTACACAAATATTTACACCATATTTGGTAATTCTCTCTCTATAGTTTGAAATAATTACATATTATCTCACTAATTAATAATTTCATGTCAGATTTTAAGTTAGATAAATGCACGTTGCTACCAAAATACACTTTGAAATACAATTACATAGGAAAAGAGGCGAGCAAGAAAGGGAAAGAGGCGAGCGAGATATGAGGGATGTAGTCGAGAGAGTTACTGTATCCCAGATACATGTGAAATACTGTAGGTACATGTATATGGAATTCTATATACATTTTGAAATACAAATCTACACGGAGAGAGGTGAGTGAGGTAAGAGAGAGGTGAGCTAGACAGTCAGTATCTGCGAATCCACTTGAATAAAATGTATCTGAAATAAATTACAACTAATTTTGACCCTATGTATTCAATACATGTATCTTGGGACCTAAATGTGACAAGAATGATAATTTCAAAAACTCATAGCATGTAATTAGGTCCTAAATCAGTGAAATTTGCACAATACAAAACACTTTTCATAAAGAAGCTGAAATAAATTAAGGCTAGTTTCAAATGTATACAATAAAATTATTAGCTTACAACAAACATAATTATGTTTTATTTACATATAGACAAAAGTCATAGGAAGTATACACTGGTTAGAAAATATAATATGCTTAAAGTCATATAAAAAATATACACTAACTATACAACATAACTTACCTATACATGAACTACCCTTATGATACACTTAAAAAATTAAATATAGCTTAGGCATAATACATAACATGATTTGCGTTATTTGATAACTATGATCTTAACTTTAGATATGCATAAATAAACACTTAAACTTGTATAATATTAAACAAATTGACACTTTTGTCCTATATAAAAATTATGTTTCCTACATGACGTCTATGTGTATCATGCCATGTAAGTTTAAGTGCTCACTTGTTCACATCCAAAGTTAAGGGTCATAGTCGCAATTTGACATCATGTTAAGAATCATATTTATGTATTATGCCTATATCTTAACTACACATGAAGTATATACTAATTATAAAACATAACTTACTTATACATGAGCTATGTAGTGACTACGTTATGATACACTTAAAAAATTGAATAAAACTTAAACTATACATAAAATATTCACAATTATACAACATAACTTACCTATACATAAGCTATACATGGATTATACATTATAATAGGCTGAAGCTAAATACAACTTAACTATACAACATAATTTATCTATACATGAGCTATAAGCTGAAAAAGTTCAAACATAAAATATATACTGATTATACGTGAAATATACATTTTCATTATAGAAGGGAGAGAGTAATTGTATACCACTGAACGATTAACTGCCGGAATGTGCAGTGACGGCGCTAGAGGCCATTCATGGAAGCCTGGAAGATCCGATGGGTTATCTCAGAAATTGGGAAAAGGAGAAAGACCCTTGCACTTCTTGGTCATTTGTTCATTGCCTTCAAAACGAAACCGACGGTTACCAGCATGTTCAAGAATTGTACGTCGTCTAATCCTTCATACCAATTTTACTGGGTTTCCTCCATTCGCTTTGCGATTCTCTAACAATTATTTTTCTTTTCTTTCATTTCGAATTGCAGGCGTCTGATGAATTTGTCCCTATCTGGTACACTAGCTCCTGAGCTTGGCCAACTTAAACATATGGAGATTTTGTGAGTCCCTGCAATTATTTAACAACACCCATTTGGTATTTATTGATTTTAATCAGCTGTAGTTTTGGTGATGATGATGATTTTTCTTTTTTCGAAAAGGAATTTCATGTGGAACAGAATTAGTGGCAGTATACCTAAGGAGATAGGAAGCATTACTGCTCTGAGGCTACTGTATGTATCTCTTCATTGCTCAATTAGGAACTCCCTCAATTTTCATTCTAATCATTGTTTAAGAGAACCCCTTTTTGTTTGATATGATGAATTGAAAAGAATCAATAGTTAGGACAAATGAATGGCCTTCCGTGAACTCATTTTCGGTTTACTTTCTTTCGTAGTGAGTGTTGTTATGAGGAGGTTGTTGTGCTAGCGAAGATTACAGGATTGTAGTATGATAGTGTATATTATAGTATGTTTTGTAATTGAAGAAGTATTAAAATAATGGTTAAGAAGTAAATCTGATAGAGGTTATAAAAAGGTTACTCCCTTCGTTTCAATTTATGTGTCTTAGTTTGACTGGATACGAGGTTTAAAAAAGCAAAGGACGTTTGATTCTGGTGATTCTAAACTAAAGATGTGTGTAATGTACCAAAACGTCCTATGATCTTGTCGTCTTAGATATGCCACGTAGGATCATTGATTTCAAAGAGTTACCAAATACAGAAAGTAACACTCTTATGTAAACAGACTAAAAACGAAGACACATAACTTGAAACAGAGGGAGTTGCTTGGTAGTGAAAACAATGGAATGTTTTCAAACATAATGTGAAGTTCCAACGTGGGGAGATAGTTGAAGGAGGGACTACTCTGCATTTGTGAAAAGTACGAGATACACTTCTTATTTTTTTTGCAGTGGAAATAGAACTTCTCAATGTCAATCAATGCTAGTCAATCGTAGGGCAGAACACAGCGATAGTACATAGCTTTTGTTCCATGTAAGGGCAGTAAGGCAAATAGTGATGATTCTCAGCTACTTCCAAGTGTAATCTTGAAAATTAAAGGAATGGTTCAGAGTTAATGTTCTGTTTACTGTCTTTATCAAAAAAAAAAGTTTTGTTTACTGTCAGGAGTTTCTGGTGTAATATCTACAGAACCAAGTATACTACAAAAAAATGTTTTGTTTACTGTCAGGAGTTTCTGGTGTAATATCTACAGAACTAAGTATACTAACTACTTGGACTCATCAGATTGAAGTCCTAAATACCATACATGTAGTGACTGCTGCAAGGATTTACAGATTTTCCATCTAAATTGTTTTTATTGAGAAATAAAGTTCTCCTACGGCCATTATCCCTGTTGGAAATGTTACCTTTATCATGAGAAATGACATATACTGGAATTTCACTTCTCCATATAAGCTTCAATCAATATTTCTGAATACTTGATTCAATCGAAGCCCGAATATGCATATATTAGCTGAAGATATCTTATATAAAACTTGCATATATGGACTGTGCACATTCATGAGAAACTCCACTCCAGCTATCATTCTTCTGTTCTTGCAGGCTTTTGAGTGGAAATCAAATATCAGGTTCTTTACCAGAAGAGCTCGGTTATCTTCCTAACTTAAACAAATTTCAGTTGGACTTAAATGATATATCAGGACCAATACCAAAATCGTTTGCAAACTTGCCAAAAGTTGCACATTTGTGAGTTCTCCACTAGAACCCAAAGACTCTCTACTGTTTGTGGTGGTATAGATATGCTTAGCTTCTGTGTTGATCATTCTTGTTCTTGATACAGCCATATGAATAACAATTCAATAAGCGGTCAAATTCCTCCAGAGCTGTCTGTTTTACCCCGGCTTCAACACTTGTAAGAATCACTTAGCCAACAATATATAAATACTAAGAAAAAGGATCTTTTGCTCTGTGAGTTTCATGTTTGGATTTACTTGGATGTGTGTTATTTCAGCCTTCTGGACAATAACAACTTATCGGGTTACCTTCCACCAGAGCTTGCATTGATGCCGAACCTAACGATTCTGTGTGTTTGAACTCTTGAGTTTTTTCTGTTTCAATGTCTTTAAATTCTCAACAATTTAATTTATTTTTTGCATTAACAAAAAAACCCTAACACCTCCTTCTCCCACACAATAACAACTTTTGCAGTCAACTTGACAACAATAACTTTGAAGGCTCGGGGCTTCCGGCTTCTTACAGCAATATGTCCAAACTATTTAAGTTGTAAGTTACTGATCTCTTGGGTATTGTTGGTTCATGTCCCCTTTCCTGTCTGATGATATATATGCCCATTTTCACCAAGCAAGAACATAGAATCCTAAAGGATGTTTGCCATCACTTAAGGTTAAAAACTGTTTTATCCCAAATTTTGATAAAGAAACAAGTCCCCTGTGAACATTCAGAAATAAATATATCCTCTGTTCTGATGTGACCTTTATCAGGCGGTAGAATAATAAAAGAGGATTAACAAAAAGTTTTCTCCATAATCATCACTGTACTCCCAATAAGGGTTTCCCATCCCCCTCCACCCCTCCTCACAAGAAATGAGAAAGGCTACATCAGTATTTTCATTTTTTTGATGAAAAAAAGGCAAGGCTGGAGCAGTATTTTCATTCTTAGGGCCTTTTGACTTAAGATGGAGTAATAATCTAAAGAAAGTTGTAAAGATTGTTGGAGGAATTCTGTATTATAATATGAAGCTTACAATTTGGTCATGCTATGATTGTATTCACTATTCTTTGATGAATGTGCATATGTTATTTCATCAAACCTGCAGGAGTCTTAGGAACTGCAACTTGCAAGGAACAGTTCCTGATCTAAGCACAATACCACACCTTCTTTACTTGTAAGCATACTTCATTGAGAAAGTCCTGTGTCCTGTTAAACCACATGTTGAGGCTTATTTCTTGTTGTTCTAACCTTCTCATTTCACAGAGACCTTAGCAGAAACCAACTCACAGGAAATATACCTTCCAATAAGCTGTCTGATAATATCACAACCATGTAAGTATCTGCCTATCTGGAAGTGTGATACTGCTGATATCTTTCCTGGTTTGATTCACCCATCTTTAATCACACTCCCCCCCACCCCCCACCCCAAACTCTCTATCGATATCTGTGAATAGGTGGGTGAATGGACATTAGTGTCCTAACATGCACTCTTTCTTTGATGTTTGAGTAACTTGGTCTTGGTATCAGACCCTCAATAGTGAACCAACTACTTTGATGGTGATTGCAGCATTCTGTCAGGAAACATGCTTAATGGTTCTATCCCTTCAAACTTTTCTGTCCTTCCAAATCTGCAGAGGCTGTAAGGAGCTTCATTTGCTATATCCTTGTTTCTTGATCCCCTGTCTGTTTCAAATTTCATGTCAATACTCTAATAAATGCAGTATTAACACTACCTTTCATTAAATTATTTTTCTTGTAGGTCACTCAACAATAATAGGTTAAGTGGTTTTGTGCCAACTACCATTTGGGAGAATAAGACATTTTCCCCAGGTGCAAAACTTAGATTGTAAGTGTCTCATTTGTACACTTTCCTCTTATCAGTAATTTGATTTTCATGTTTCTGTTGTCTGCTGCCCCACAATCTATTGGCCAGTCAAAGTTTTTAACTGTAAGATACAGACAAAAGCTTTTTGTAGAGAATCAGGCCAAATTTGTATTCCTATTTCATTTTGGTAGCTAGTCAGTCCACATGTAGTTTTGGATATACAAAGAAGGTATCCCGGAAAATAATAGTAAAGTCAAGGAATAGTTTGTCCATTGTCAACAAATGTTTCCTATCTCTATACAGTTAATATATAACAAGGGATAATATGTCTGGTGTTTTGTGTTGTTCAAGGTAATGTAGCACGCATTCTTTCCTCTTACTAAACCAGGCCATGTCTGACTAGAAAAGGCCCCTCAGATGTTAACTTATCAGATAGCCAGGCTGATCCAGTTGTTCTCCTTTGTGCAGGAACTTTCAACGTAATTTTCTCTCAGATATTTCGGGTATTCTTGATCCTCCTCCAAATGTTGATATTATGTAAGACCTTATTTCTGGTAGTCTTACATATTTGGGAATTACTTTCAGTTCTCGGCTTTTATAATTATATGTGGCGAAATAAGCTCCCCTAATTCAATTTCTATCTAACTTCCATTATCCTGCTTTTGTTAAGCTTCAAATTACAAAGTAATCCTGTGTAGTCTTAGTTTCTATTTCAGATTTCTGTGATTCAACAGAACTACTATCATGAAGACGGTAGGAAAACTTTCTATAGCATATCCCCATGACAACATATGGGATAGTTGCATAACACTGTCTTCATTTGCTTTTTTCCTGCTAAACTCTTTCCATCAGTATAGAGATTTACTTCGAGTATCCATTGATGAAGATAGAGTAGTGAACCAACACAGTTTCTACTTCTTTTATTTTGTCATCGTTTCAAAACTTCATTTCTTGTCAGAAGATGGGTAGTTTTCTTTCTAGCAGTACACTTTATATGGAGCTCGAAAACAATGGGGTCAAATTCATATATGTGAATTTCTTTCCATATGATTTGATAATATGATAAATCTAGGGTTATGGGGGAGAAGTTGGTGGCAATGGGAGCCTAAGAAAGCAGTGGGGATGCGACCGATAGGTGGGATAGGACTGCTAGTTGCATAAGGAAAGCGGCTAGAGAGGTCTTGGGGGTTTCAAAAGGTAATTCTAGTGGACACCGAGGAGATTTCTGGTGGAATGGCAAAGTCCACGGAAGGTAGTGCCAAAGAAGGTGGCTTATGTGAAGTTGCTGGAGAGCAAAAGGATGGGGAGGATAAGAGGGCGACGAGAGAAGTACATAAAGTGGCGAGGAAGGAGGCGAAGTTGGCAGTTATGGAGGCAAAAATGGCAGCTTTTGAACGCTTATATGAAAAACCAGGGGACAAAGGCGGAGATAAGAAGTTGTATAGGCTAGCCAAGGTGAGAGAGAGGAAGACTGAAACCTGGAGCAAATGAAGTGCATTAAAGATGAGAAAGGCAGAGTATTGGTGGATGAGAGGCAAAGTTGGCAGTTATGGAGGCAAAAAGGGCAGCCTGTGTACACTTGTATGATGATCCCTGCATTATACTCTTTTTATTTTTATTACAAATCTGGCATGACTTGCCTCTAAACCAGACATTTAACTGATTACATACTGAAGTAGTAACGGGCTTTCTAATTTGATGGAGAGATCACGCCTTAGCAATACCTTTCAAGCTGTATATATTTAATTCTAAAAACAAATTGTTCAACTTCTATCATGGTTAAATAAATTCTGGTTCACCTACTAACTTTATTTTTCTGAAGAGCAGCTTCACCTACTAACTATATAATACATGTTTGTGTGCAGTTTTGTGTGCCATATTTGCTAATTTCATGAGTAACATAAATAATGAGTTTGAGTTTTGTTTTTAACCCAATCACTGGTACTTTAACGAGCAAATATCTTCAATGGCATAAAATCACTACACACATTTTGCTTTATCACTCCTTTATATTTCTGATTAAGAATTCGTTAGGTGTGACACTTTAACTGAATAACTTTCAGGCTTTATGGAAATCCTGTTTGTGGAAATGCAAATGAGCGCCAGATTACCCAATTTTGTAAATCAAGAGACGGAGGTGAAGAGTATGGACGCTTGAACAACTCTATTCCAAGTTGTGCAGCCCAGCTGCCTTGCGACGTGGATTTTGAACATGTCCCAGCATTAATGAATGACTGCTTTTGTGCAGCACCTTTTGGAGTCGGTTTGCGTTTAAGAAGCCCTAGCATTTCAGACTTTCCACCACATTATAGTGACTTTGAACAGTGGATTACAAAAAGTGTTAATTTGAATGATTATCAACTGCACATTGATTCGGTTGCATGGCAAAACGGTCCTAGGCTTAGGTTCTTTTTGAAATTCTTCCCTCCACGTGCAAATGACTCTGGAACCAATGATTTTGGAAAATTTAATGACAGCGAGATAGTACGGATCGCAAATAAGTTTGCCTTTTTTAATCTTACTGGAAATGATATCTTTGGCCCTTATGACCTGCTCAATTTCACTGCCATGGCATATAATTCTGGTATGTCTCGAAATCCATTATTTCTTGTATAAGTAGGATATAATAATACATTAGCATGTGGACATTTTCAGTTGTAGTTCTGTAATGATTTCCTGAGGAATTTAAAGTTAAACCAATGTGAACAATAATAGAAAAAAACAACGTGAATCTCGTTTGTTTTTTACAACTTAGTTCAGGCACGGTGAGTGGCAACAACTCTATTTTTTTAGTTTAATTTTCTATAGGGAGGCACACGAACCCAAGGTTGAGATTAACATGCAAGCCGAGAGAAACACCTTTATTGTAAAACTTGTTTCTTCAGTTCGTATTTTGTATCTAATGCCAAATATTGGATACTTTTCAACTAGACTGGAACTCTTGTGCACCCACATGACTAATTTTTCTTTTGTTCTTGCTGATTCTTGAATATAATTATTATGATTATTATATTTCTTTTTTCTTTACTGGTCATGCTCGGATAAAAAATTCTCTTTCCCATTGTGCTCCATTCGTTTCTGAAAATGTCTATTGATATCGTTTACCCTGTGATATACAACATAGTTTTATTTCTTGTCATGGAAGTATGCGAGTATGAAAATTCAGTGAAATGGTTTAGATATCATGCATGCTTTGAAGCTTAAGATCCTCATGAAGGTGGTAACCTGACAGAGATGCTAGTAATCTCTTAGATACTCAGTAAGGGTGAAGAGACTAAATTGACTACCTTAGTACAAGTTCTTGATTAAGTAAAATCTTAGGTGAACCATATGTTAATGTCAAAATATGGGAATATCCCCATCCAGAAACTCAAGATGAATTGGCTAGTTTTGTTTTATTCTGGTGTAAAGAAGAATTTGTTAATGATGCAGAATCTGTGTGAAGAAGCCTTATAGAATCTTTGGTGAGAAGAAGAAGGATTACTTTTTTTTTTCTATTTGAGATGTGTCACAACACAGCCTTTGTCCTGAATATAAATATATCATTGTTACCTTTCCTCAAAATATATGCTATCATATAAGAGAGCCAATAACTTGCTCTGCTCTTGTCTTTCTTTCTGCTTTCTCAAGATCAAATAACTAATATTTTTCCTTCTTGCAGTCCTTTTTCCTCCGTTGGGAGAAGAGGGAAGCAGAAAAAACAGAGGCACTGTGGTTGGAATTGTCTTAGGGTCCATATTTGCTGCAGCTGTGCTACTTATGGCCATAATATTCGTGTTGTTTAAAATGCGGCGGAGGTCACACGTTTCAAAAGATCAACCATGTGAGTTAATCTTCAGTTATTTTGTGACTTTTCCTCAGCTATAGGGAGATTCTTCTCCATTTCTTTCATTCACCCCATTAGGACCTGCTGGTTAAGTAGTCAATAGGTTTAACTTTTCTTTGGTATCTGGTGAATCGCCAAAAAGAGGACATGAAACCACATTCTTTGAGTGCTTCATGCATATAATGCAAACTTTGCACCTGATAATTTCCAGTTTCCATCTTCTGAAAAAACAAAAAGATGCCAAAAATCATAAAATCTGTCTTCCTTACTGTTATTTTCTTGTTTAAGTTCTCTATCTAATCAAGAAATAACACAGAATTGCAGTGTCAACCATCTTTCTCAATGTGGCAAATTATCTTTCTTAGTACGTTTGCTTGTAATTTAGCTATGATACTGCTTGATGTTTTACTTTTAATTTTTTTTTAGGAGAGAGTATAGTGCTTTAATTCCTCACATGGACAGAGAACTTTACGGTTTTATGGAAAGTTTGTGCATATTTTTGAGTTTACGGTTTTATGGGAAGTTTGTGCATATTTTTGAGTAAACTCTCCGGCATTGCCCCATCATCCTTAGAACAAAAAGTGGAAAAGAAATAAATAGGAAGTGTTTGCTGGGAAATGGGCATGTATATCTAAGTAATACTCTTGTTGTAGTGCTTCTGTTATTTGTACATCAATTAGATGATTATTTATGTTCTTTTCTTAGTCAGATTAATTCATATTCTTAAAGTGAACAAAGTTAGCTGAAGCCAACTATTGTATCAAAGGTTCATTTGCATTAAAGTCATGCTACCATCACCTAAGCTTTTCCTTTCATTCTTTTTATGTCAACTTTTCATGCTGAAGTTCTCAATGAATATCTGATTTTTAATAAATTGGATCTTGTGGCAATGATGTATTTATTAAACGAACTTACCCAAGACCACATGGCACTCATAGTGATAGTACTTTCATTTCTTTTGTAGTACCAAAATTTCCAATGCGAATAGAAGGTGTTAAGGCATTGGGTTTTAAGGAATTAGAGGCAGCAACTAACAGTTTTAGCAGTACTGCTGAAATTGGCCAAGGAGGCTATGGAAAAGTCTACAAAGGCACTTTGGCAGAGGGAACAATAGTGGCAATAAAACGTGCACAACAAGGCTCATTACAGGGGGAGAAAGAGTTCTATACTGAGATAGAATTACTGTCACGTGTACATCACCGAAATCTGGTTTCCTTGGTGGGATACTGTAATGAAGGAAGTGAACAAGTAAGATTCTCAAACTGGAAAAATAACACACACACACTCACAGAGCCAAGTCCATGCTGCTATTCATGCATTCAGAGGGAAGAGGGGAGTATGTTCGGTGGAATAATTTCTTTGATGTACCAGTTTAGCCACTTGTTGAAGTCTGATTGCCATTTGAACACCTAGGTCAAAATTGAATTTTTTTCCGTATCCTCAATCATTTTGGATGCCTCATTGCCGTTGTGCAGACGCAATCAAGCATAATGTCAGTTACCTTCTGCTTAGAGAAATTCATTTGATACAATCCAGATGCAAATGAAATGACAACTATCACATAATGGTAGTTAAATTGCAGCTCGACGTTCATAGTCTTGGCTGATTCTGAAGTAAACTCAAGCAAAAGTCTTCTGAGATAGTATTTTCGTCATACATTTTTTTTTCACCAATTATTATCACATGTTAAGTGATTCAATTTATGAGCATATCACTTAGATTATTGAATATTAAGTTCAACCAAATTCCCATCTATGATTAGCTCATCAATTACATCCCTCTTATACTTGCGTAGTCTAGTCACATTAGTGAAATGCATGTCTTCTAATAAAGTAATCAAATCAAAAGGCAGATGGAAGGATAAGAATGGATATTATATTTTGTGGTCTTTTATTCTACTTTTGTAATAGTAGGTTACATGTGCATGCAGATGTTGGTGTATGAGTACATGCCAAATGGTTCCTTGCATGATCTTCTCTCTGGTATGTGATGTATCCTTCCTTTGTCTATGATGTCATTTGACTTTCTTGTGTTAGAATCAAGCACATTCATTCTCCTCTATCACTTTTTTTCCTGGTGTAGTATTTCTTATCCGATAAAGCTGGTGAAAGATATGTCCCTCTAGTAAAGAATGCTTGTATAGATGAAAGTAAATCTAAATATCTAATCACTCAGGGTGAAAAATATGTCCCATTTTTTCTGAAGTTTTTACTTCAATTTGACTCCTGAATCCCGATGGTCACTGTTTGTTTTCCTGCTTTCTTGACTTGTGTGTTCATCAACAAGTTTATCACATGGAACTTTATATTCTTAATTTTAATCACGTGTCAGTTCCAATATGAATATTAAACAGGTACCTCCAAAGTTTACCATGAGAACATTAAATATTTTTTTACTTATTTATACAGCTAGATATGGGGAACGTCTGAGTCTTGGAACAAGGTTATACATTGCTTTAGGTGCTGCCAGGGGCATCCTCTACCTCCATACTGAGGCTAATCCTCCAATAATCCATCGTGATATCAAAGCAAATAACATACTGTTGGACTCTAAGTTCACTGCAAAAGTCTCTGATTTTGGAATCTCAAAGCTTGCACCGTTACCTGATGCTGAAACGAGTGGACATGTATCAACTGTTGTGAAAGGAACTCCTGTAAGGCTTTACTCGTTTTATATGTCGAAGCCTGAAATAGAAATGCTAGAAAATTGCAATGAGATAAGACCTGCAACTTGAGTAATCTAGGTATCATGGCTACAGACCAGGAGGACTTCATTCTCTAAGTTTGATCATGAATACACATACTATGATCTTCTAGTATTTCAATATTGCCTTTTACCTTCTCATTTATTTCTCTTTGCTTTTTCAAAGATAGCTGACAATTGCCAAAATTTGGCACTCATGTAGGGCTACCTTGATCCTGAGTACTTCTTTACTCACAAGTTGACAGAGAAAAGTGATGTTTATAGCCTTGGTATTGTATTTCTGGAGCTTTTAACAGGGATGCGACCTATATCTCAGGGAAGGAACATCGTCCGAGAGGTACTTGATTCTTTCCCCCCTTATCTTGGTATTTTACTTTGTTCATGAAGACAAATCTTTTGGGGAACATTAAATAGCTCTTCTAGATATAGTCGCTGTCTGCTAATGGATCTGTACTAAATCAGTAGAGATCATTTGCTTTCACGAGTTCCAATTCTTTTGTGGCTTTGAGAAGAACCTCAATAAATTCCAATGTGATCTATTTTATGAAGTTGAGATACCGCATATGAATCAGTATACTTGCTGGCAACCCTTACACTAGTTAATGGCTATTTGAGTTGAGCTTTCTCATATTTTGTGTTGCATGGAAGGATCTTAACATGAAATGGTTAGTAATGAAGTAGTGAAAGTTGTTTTACCCCAAACCTTATATCTTACTGTTGAATGTTTAGGACGAGTTCCCAAAGATGGATGCTTTGACTTAAAATATTATGATAGCTAGAAAGTGAGATCAACACTAATAATATGTCCAAAGTCTTAGCAGTATCCTGTTAGTGTTTGACTTATTTGAATATGTGAAGTCCTCAATGTTTAATTTGATCCACAACTAGTACTCTCTATCCTAGAAAGCGAGAATGGCAGAAGATCAGAGTACAGTATCAACACATCTATTTTTCGTGGTGAATCAAGCATTGACTTCTCATTTCTCAGAATTAAAGCTCAACTATTTAGAAAAAAACTGTTGGACTCCTTAAATAGTTTGAAGTGTCATTCATTTTGGACGAACAGAGTAAGAAATTGAAGTGTCATTCATTTTGGACGAACAGAGTAAGAAAAAGTTTTCTTTGAACCAATGACAGGTGAATGCAGCATGTGAATCAGGGATGATGTCTTCTATTATCGACAAGGGTATAGGTCCATATTCCTCAGATTGTGTCAAGAAATTCCTGGATTTGGCTCTCAGGTGTTCACTGGATGAACAAAAGGATAGACCTTTAATGCTGGAGGTGGTGAGAGAGTTAGAGGACATCACTTACATGCTTCCATCTGTATTCGACTATAATATTCCACCAGATACAGATGTTTCCACGTCTGGAATGTCATCATCACCACCAACTTCAACTTATTCCAGACACACTACCACCTACACAACTATGGAAGGAATTGAGCTTGTGAGCGGTGTCATTCCCACCATCAGGCCTCGTTGATGCGCTTAATCACTTGCTATATACCCTTCATTTACCAACATGTTAATGGTCAGATTCTGAAGTATTAGAAGTTTCACATTTTAGTCTGAGGTATGTAATGTACATATATGTATTATAAGCAGGTTGAATCAACTCTGAGACCATGAAAAGACTTGTATATAATCATATGGTGACGTTGTTTTCCATTAGATATGCCCTCTTGTTTATGACCATAATAAGTGATGAGTTTACGGAATATACCGTCAGCGTAAACAATTTTTATATCATCAGATCATTTTTACAAATGGTTATGTTACTACATCCTTTATTTTCCCTTTGGAGATTATTATTAACTACTTTCTATTTGTGTCATCCAATGTCTTTGCTTCATAATCTGTATATTAATTCTATAATGACATTCTACATTAATGATCCCACCTTCACCATCACCCCTACCCCAAAAGTGGGAGGAATAATAAATAGTATATAATCAATGGATTCATTATAAAGTGAAATCCCCACCCACCCACCTTCCCCTTCTTCCATTGTATATGTATAATATTATATACAAATATTTTGAATAATATATTTACTTACTTATTAACATGAAAAAATAATTATTCACTCATTTTAAGGAGAAAATATTTCCTCATACTAAATACAGGATATGGAATATTTTTGGGAAAATTACGCGGTTAAACAAACTTGTACTACTTAATTATTCATCATAGCTATAGTTTGCTATAATTACCACTCACGACTAATATTATACATTATTATGTGGGCTGACTTCGAGTTTGTATAACTAGCTATATGTGTATATGTATAATTCGTCATAATATACAAATACATATGTATAATATATAATTATCTAATCAGTATATATATACAATTTGACTCTCTCTCACTCTCTCGCTCGCCTCTCTTATCCCTCTCCCAATCTCGTTCGTCTCTCTCCTCTCTCTCTCAATCTCGTTTGCTTTTTATACAATGCATATGTATAATATACAATTATATAACCAATATACATATACAATTCATCTCTCGATCTTCCTACTCTCTGACTTCTCTCTCTCTCTCCTCTCTCCTCTTTCCTCCCTCTCCCAATCTCACTCGCCTCTCTCCTCTCTCTACCAATCTCGCTTGTCACATATACAAATACATATGTATAATATATAATTATCTAACCAATAAACATATATAATTCACCTCTCTCGCCTCTCATCTCTCTCACAGTCTCGTTCGCCTCTCTCCTCCCTATAACATGTAGCTACGAATTGTAATTATCAAACTATAGTTATGAAGAGTAATTAAATTATTTTTTAGTGGCTATATGTGAAAACTATTTCACATATTATTTTTTAAGATATTAATAACTTCACACTCATTAAGGACTACAATGACATGATTGTATTAAATTATTATTTATATTTTAAATAAATGTATTGAAAAGAAGGAAGAACATTTAGGACCGGAGTGTGTGCAGTGTGGAAATACCATTTTCAAAGTTTAAACAAATAAACAAAAAAAAAAAGGAAAAAGAAGAGATTGAAAGAGTCGAAAGTAACCGAGGGTCGTGGTGGAGTGGTAAGTATTATTTTATCCTTAATCAAGAGGTCTTCAGTTTGAGTCCCCTTATGTACGAGGTCGACTTTGTTAGAGAGCGTTTTACCTCCCACTGTGGGTCTTCTCATTGTAAATCTAAATTTAGTTGGAATATCGAATCAGTAAAATTTGATCAGTCTTCAATGTGGATATCGAACACCGGATAAAAAATAAAAAGAAAGAGTCCAAGCATGTTAAATTGTATGTTCATTTCTTCCAAAAGTTTGAATTATTATAGAAAAGATTATACGTTTTTATTCATTTAGTTATATCTTTAATATTTTTTTTTGTTTTTTTTATAAACCAATTAAATTACTGAATATTATGATAATTTCAGCTCAAACTGATAATAAAAAATAATATATGTTTTATTTACATAGTTATATTTTTAAATATGTCCTTAAAATTAACTTCCAAAATACATATGAACCAAGACATATTTGTTTAAATCGTTAATCCAACATAGATAATAGACTATTTATTGAAAATTGATAATATCAATAAATGTAATTCAACCCAAATAAAATAAGAGGTTGAAAAGGATAAGGAAAATTTTGTATCAGAATATGACTGACTAGATTTTATCTCATGGTTTTTTAATCGATTTTGAAAACGTACATCATACGTTTGTTCTTATTTTTGTATAAAATTTGTGTCGTTGATAAAAAAGTTATGATATTTTTCAAATAAAAATAACTCAAACGCAATTAAGTTAACTAAAATATATTCTCAGAAAGCAAACAAGAAAAGATGAAGAAACTCAACCAATATCAAACATAATTCTTCTCGTCTTTATATCCTGAAGTAAAAAATAATTATAAAGTTCCTTTCATTATTTTCTCCTATAAATTGAAGTGTTAATTATATAAATATTCTAAGCGTTACCAATATATATATATATATATATATATAATCATTCACCGTTTAATTACTTTTGGCATGAAGTGGGTCAGAAGTATAGGTTTTGCTTCATAAAGGTGGTCTTGAACTTGAATTGACTAGATCGAAATTTTTTCTTACTCATTCGATAAACCTTTTACATGTATATCTTATCAATAATATATGTCATCATACATGATTCAATTTAGAAATCTGTTCAAAAAAGTTCGTCATCAAATTGATATTTGGCTTTCAGATATTAACTACCCCTCCGTGTAAGGTTAGACAATAACAAAATAGTCATCCTCTCATTTGATAATTCTACTCATGACTCGATCAAAGACAAATGTTATCAAGAGGTTTGCAATTTCAAATTGGTTGATGACTGAGTATCAAATATTGATTGATTTATTATATAAATAATATCTCATCAATTATATATGTCAATCGAACATGATATAATTTAGGGAATTTTACTAAAATATTCGTCATCAAATTAATATCTAAAATCTTCGTCATCAAATTAATATTTAGCTTTAGAACATTAACTATCCATCCCTCTGTGTAAGGTAAATAGTCATCCTCCCATTTGATAATTCTATTCAATCTAGATAGATGACTCAATCAAAGACAAATGTTATTAAAAGATCTACGATTTCAAATTAGTTGATTACGATTTCAAATTAGTTGATGAATGAATTTCAAATACCGATTAATTAATTAATTATATAATATCCTATCAATAACATATGTCAATCATACATGATACAATTCAGGGATTCTTACTAAAATCTTCGTCACAAAATTAATTTTTAGCTTTAGACATTAACCACCCTTCTGTGTAAGGTCGGACAATAAAAAAATAGTCATCCCCTCTTTTGATATTTCTACTCAATATCGATGACACAATCAAAGACAAATGTATGTTATCAAAAAGGTTTGCGATTCCAAATTAATTGATGACTAAATTTCAAATACTGATTAATTAATTATATACATAATATCTTATCAATAATATATATCATTACACATTATCATACGATTTAAAAATCTTACTAAAATTTTGGTCATTAAATTAATATTTAGCGGAAGAACATTAATTACCCCTACGTGTGAAGTTGGACAATAACAAATTAGTCATCCTCCCCATTGATAATTGCCTACTCAATCTATCTAGTATCTATCTCCGTCTCTTTCTCTTGCATTTATATTTTAATTTTTTTTATCTAATTTTTAATTATTATTTTTCATTCAATATTTGATATTAATTATTTTATTTAGATTAATTTAAATTCATACCGTTCAAGCAACAGCGCAGCCACATTGACGCAATACCCCTTGCTCAAATATTTGACCTATTATATATATATATATGTATGTATGTTCGAATAAAACTATTAAGTGATATTTTCTATATTAAATCAAATGAATGCCATAGATATTACCATCTTAGTATCTTAGTAGAGAAAATATAAGTTTCAATTATATAATAGTTTAAAAAAGATCGGACGTACATTAGCTTACTCTCAATCGTTTTGATTATTTTAATATTTAGACGAGAAAGTCTTTTTTATGTCTCATAAATACAAAAAGTAGAGTAGAATGTATAAATTCAAGTCTCGATCCAAAATCAAGGACAAAGTCAAGTAGAAGTAAAGAGATTTCATCCAAATCCTATAGACATTTATGTATCATATATTATCATAAGTGTGAACAAAAAAGTCGAAAGTTAAAATAAAATAACCCTATATAGTTGAGTTACTACAATAATATCATTATATTATTATTATTGATTATTATTATTATTATTAAATAGTAATTTAAGTTTCATAACAAAAAACTTTTTACATACCACTAAAATATTACTGTAATAATTTGAAGTGCATTTAAGAGTATTCCTTTTGGCATTATCATTAAGTTGCATTAACAATTTTTCTTCTTAATTGTTGAATTTTGAGCACTTAAAATAATTACCGTTTTAGATTAAAAAACTTAAACATTAGAGCATATGGAGAGATTCATACAATATCAATATTTAATTGAAGAGAATACATGGTTAGATGTCACAATTTATTATTTTTCACTTTTTAATGACTTTAATTGCTAAACTTTTTAGCTTCTACAATTAAATACATTCATTCACAACCTTTCATATACACAATTTCTCTCTTTATAAGTTAAATAGAAAATATTAGTCCATTACACTTTATATTTTCACATCTTATAATTCTTATGTAATCTTTTATTTATTGGTCATTTTTTTTCTTATTGATATATTGCTTGTTTAATTAACTTTTTTTATTTGTATGGAAATATAGTGTTAGACATCTGACAATTTTGACAAATCATATAATTGAAGTAGTAATCTTTTTTTTTTACCAATAAATGTAGTGTATCTCACTTGATTAAAATTAGAAAGTTTTTATCAATACAATCAGAAATTCTTCAAACTCTATTGATCTTTGCAAGGTGCAACCTTAGTTGAATGTTTTACCAGAAACATCATTTTTACCCTTTAAATATTGTATAATGCATCAATTATTCTAAAATAGTTATATCATTTGAAATGTTTGATATTAAATAACATGAGATACACGTGTAACATACGTATTCAAGAACTAGTATAGAATAAATGTTAGACAATTCTGATTCCACCATTTCTCACATCTCTCGATTTAATTGACTATATGAATTTTTACCTAACTGCGTATCTTCTTTTTCTTTCGCCTACCGCTATTTTTAAAAAGGAAAAAGGAACAACTGTCGGCTAGCAGCATCCTCCACCAGCCAACGGCACAAAAAGACTTCAATTACTTTTTAATGTCTCCTATATAT